CAAACTAAAAAAACAAAGCGTTCTAGCGCACAGCTGCTCTACACGGAAACACTACTAGATAAAACAATGTGCACTACGACGTTCAGACGTCCAGTGCTATGACCGCGGAACAAGAAGGATTCTGCCCTCAAAACGGCGGAGGCCACACGATGATGCCCATACAGGAGAGCTTCCAGACGTTGGCGTCTCAGGCACTCGCTTCGTCTGGGGCCCAAGAAGCCCCCATCGGCGCTAAGAACCTGCACTCCACTTGCACCACCCAGGCTTGTGAGTGGCTCCTCACCACTGGCCTCATGAACGGAAGTACAATGGAAAAAGCCACGTTCTTCAAGGGTGTTGTATACAACGGCGAGGACCACACTGTGCCTGTTCCTGGCATGTACACCAATTTTCAGAAAGGGGTTCAGCCGGTTGCTTTTTTCACGGCGAGGGACAAAATCCTCGTGAAAATGGTACGCACAGGCCAATGGGAGAATGAGGTTCCTGCTACTGTGTACTACACGTGGGTCTGCGAGCACTACGAGTTTACACCTGAGGAATCGCAAACAGCCCCTTCGACTGATGATAATGGTTTCCTTATTCCTTCACCCAAGAAGTTTCCGTGGTGGGCTGGGCTACTCATTGCAGTGGCAGTCTGTTTTTTCATCGTAATCGTGCTTTTGGTGTGCTGCTGCTGCCGAAAATACAGTAAGGAGAAGGAGGAAGAAAGAGAGATTGAAGCGGTGATGAATGGAGGGGACAATATTCATCGTATTCCCACACAGTCCGAATTGGGTATAGGCCGATCCTCAAGCATATACCAGGATGGCGACGGCGGGTTCGGGCTCGGAGATTCAGTCTACCGGAGGGGAGGAGTCTCACGTGAGAATAGTGTGGCGAGCATGAGGCGGCAGAGCAGTGTGGCGAGCATGGGACAGCAGATCAGATTGGGGAGCATGAGAAGGCAGGGTAGTATGGTTAACCCGAATGGTCCTGGCAGTATGGGCGACATGCGTCCGTTGGGGGGTATGGGTGGCGAGGTACCTTATGGTTTCAACCCGTTTGCTGGTGAGTACCCTGAACCGAATGGATTTCAGCCACAGGGAGCGTTTGGTGGCCAAGTCGCATATCCGCCGGGAGGTGGATACATGCAATGAGTTGTTTTTCCCCAGCATATTAACATTGTGTACTAGGATGGAGAGTGAGTCCTTCTTTATTTGTCCTTTCTTCTTTTATCCCTGCTCTTTGTTTTAATTTTGCTTTGTAGCCTCCTCCAT